CTACAATCTAAATAAGGTTGCCAACGGGCAACCATTTTTTGATAAGCTCTCTCCGCTCTAATGCTATCAGGTTGCATGGTAACTTAACGTCAGGTTTCAGCTGCCTATCTAATTTGCTCTCCTCGAGCACTGCCGTACACTTTGACATCGTTCTTTTCTCGACTAGACGTTCCTCGCGTGTAGCCCGATACTAAGAAAAAAAATTCCCAATCTCCATAAGCTGATTGAACACTGAAATTTTTTGCCTACTGTAACCTCCACTAGTAATTGAACGATTTATCGAAGACCACAAGAATGTACTTCATATGTGGCAGCCTCCGACGCAGCGTAATGGTTGTCGACTGGTGTCGGCTGTTGAATGCGGAAGGGGGGGGGGGAATTATTGGTGACATATTAACTCCTATAAAAATAAGAAATTTGTGGTAGTTTCGTTTTTTTATGCCACAACTATGGCAATGCTGGGTAGCAGAGCACGCCTGACTTTTGAAACCTCAAACCACAAACTACAAAGTATTTTCTTTTAAGAACCTTCAAAGAGCGCAATACCCTTCCGGCTTCCTACAAAGTCTACTTCCGCTCGCCTTGAACTGCTCCCTCTCAGTACAGGCGAAGACTTTCCGACGCACAATAGTTTTTTCTTTTTCACCCTCGAGCAGTAAACGCTGTTAAGCATATAATATCAGAGAAGTCGCACGTAAAATAGAGCTGGTACAATTTAGTAGTCCTTGTAGGAGCTCCTAGGACCTCACTGATTTCCTGTGTGGTGACAGTGGTTGACGGAATGCCGGTCCCTTCCCAAGAGAACTTCCATCTTGTTGCGTTATCATTTGTTCCGCACATTTGACGCTGATAATGTGCACGCGCTTTCCTTACTTATGTGCTCGTAGCTAACGAGCTCATAAGTAAGGAAAGGAGTTGCGAAACAGCGCTTTCATTCGTAAGTAAGATTCTTTGAGCACTGTGCAGTAGCTATCAGTGTGGAGTGGATACGCCAGCGTTTTCAGAGGCGCCATCTCTTTTCCCGGCTTTGGTGGGATGACATACGTTGACAATCGGGCACGTCCTGCCGCTGAGAGAACGTTCGGAAAATTACGGCTCTTCCCCACCTTTTTTTCGGAATTTCCCGGGAATTTTCTAGTTTTCACACCCAAAATTTTGCTGTCGACCAAGAAGGGAGGGAGAGCAGCGGTTCGCCAACAACCACCTACTAGTTTCAGTTAGAAATAGTCGTTGTGTGAGTTAGTAGCGTCACCAAAAGGGGGAGGGGAGAAAACTGGACAAATTTTTTCCACAACGGCCGTGGATTTCTCCCCAAATACGACTCTCTCTCAAAGCAACGAACAAATGTGACCTCCTCCCCTTCATAGTGCCCGTAAAACCAAAGATAATCAACTATCGAAGAAATTTCTTCGACAAAATACGACCTTTTTCCCCCAGGCGATCAAATACGACGACTTCCAGCTAGGGAATCCAGCTTAAGGGGTGGTCTGATTGAAATACTAATAATGATGAAATTTCGCGTTAATTGTTGAACTGTGTGACTGATTGCTCGATATTCATGTGATATTGGCGTGCTCCATATGGAACTCACAACGTAGTATGCAGTTCTTCACAATGATGGCGCATTGACCACAGACATGAACTTGTGAAGATTTCAGTGGACAAAGATGTTGCGTAGCGCGTCACAGAACGTAAAACATGGAAGGTAACAGGCTGTTGAACAGCCATTGCCATGGTCCATCAAATTCTGGAGGCAATACCGATCCCTTACTTGAGGCAGATGATCACTGTAAGGGATTAGAATGGGTCATCATGGTCTTAGGTTTTCGAGAGCTGTGGCGCTTGGATGAACGACAGTCATGTAGTTAGGTTCTCCGGTTGAAATGCTTCCCCTCGTCGCAACACAGTAGTGAATGGAGGCGTCGTCTCCACTGAGCTGAACGAAACCTACTATTGCTTGAAATCAACGCTAGATTCTTAGGATTCCAAAAAATGTTGAATCAATGTGTTCCCATCCTCGGCTTTTCCATCCTGCCTGCTCCGCCCCACCCCTTCAGGTGACATTGTTATATTTTCCACAGCCTGACTCATTACAGAAAATTGGGGCTGACTGCGAAACTTCCTCATTGTCAGGAGGCTAGCATTGCTGGGATTCTTTGAGGAGACAGGTCCCTCATCACAACAGCGCGTCGGCGACTATTGAATGGCTCCCCACGATTATAGATGGGAACGTGGGCATAGTAGGGTATCGATCAGCACCTGCATAGTGTTTCGGGAGCGTATAGAATAATAGGAGGGTACTAAACTGTGTGATTAGACAACGCGCACGCTCCTATTCTCTTATACTCTCCTTAAAACACTAGCGGCCGCACCGCATGCGATACCACTGAAGCGCTGTTACAATGGTAGCGTGGGTCGTCCATGCATGTCATCACGAAGTCTAAACGCTGCCAAGGGGCATCCCGACGAATTTCATCAACCTTCACGGAAGTTTCATCATCTCTGTGGCGGTGACGAAAGAGTGTATAGGGTGTCGAAAGCAACTGATTGTCCTTACGATTGTATGAGATCTTACCAGCGAATATACTCACTTGCACAGTGCTGCCGAGCAAGCTACAGGCTTATGATTTATTCCACTTTGCATTTAGCAGGCTCATTCCAGTCATTGGCGGTGGGCGGCACGACAAAGCATAAGAATAGGCGAGGGATGTCGGCACGCCTATTCCTGTGTTTTGTTATCATTCTTCTAAGGTCTCTCACCTCTTGCTAATGTCTCTGGGCATGTTGCCTCCCACATATGTTTGCACAGTCGTCATAATTAACTGCTATGTACGAGAAAAGCCTTAGCTAGAACGTTTTCGGTGCCTCATTCGATTTTGTTTCTTCACTGGCAAGCACTTGTACTCCCATAGCCGACCGCTACTGCGTAGGGCTAACAAATGGGAAAGGTGCCTGGAAGCGGGATTTCGCAAGACGACACAGGGGCGTATAAATCATCTCGCATGTTTCGTGCCAGTTATTCTCATGCTCTGTCTTCCAAATGTAATATGCAACAGTGCCTCTACGCTTTTTCTTACCGGTAGAGCTGATACGAGTTGCTAAAAAGTAATTGTACTAGCATACGATTTATTTTCTGGCTTTCAGTTCCACTTGGCAACAGCACTATTGTGTCAAACAAAAAAGGTAAATGAATGGAGTGGAGCGACCACGGTCGTTGAGTCGTCTGACTGCCGGTGGAGGTGTATCTGAGAGCGATGCCGAGTACACCGATGCCCACGAAAACATCATTTAGTAAGTTGAGCTGTTTTTTTTGTGTAAGATAAACGCAAGGATCTTCTGTCTGTCAAACCTAAGCACGGTCTTGATCGCCGCAGACGATGGGGCGTGCCAGGTGGCTAGGTTTGGCGCTAAGCCAACTAGTGTTCTATCAATTGTCGTCTTCTGCCAGTTTCCATAGTAGGTGGTGTCCGCCAGCTTGCACAGCAGGTGGAGAACGGCCTGGCGCCGCTTCAACCCCAACCCCCGGACACGCTGCAGAGTCCACAGTGGCAAGACCTCTAGGATTGTGGGAAGTCTTATATTCAATTGTAAGGAGTGTAATGGTACAATGTTGGGCAAAATTGATTTTCTCACAACTCTGGAAATCGTAGCAGTTGTGTGGGTCATGCTGTATTAACAGCACTAGTCTTTTACCAGTTTTGCGTAGGTCGTGAGCATCCTTACAATCAGAGCGGAACATGGAGAGCAAGAACTTGGAGAAGACTCGTGCTTTTCAGAACCTTGTACAGAATTTTCTTTCCACTAATGGTTGTTTACTGGGATGTTGCGCTCATAATTGCAGGGAAAACACTGCAGAAACCCGCAGGCCTAGTTGTGCAGTCATGTTCGCTCGGATGCTGGTGCTTGTGAGGGGAAGTGCTGGGATGGCGCCGCGCAAACACTCTTAGAATACTTTATGCATTTTACCCGAATTTGGAACCGTGTGACCAGCCCCGTCGGGAGACATCCAGACCTTTTGCAATACGATTTCTGTCGTGTGGTAGGAGGAACCTGCTAGGACACCTTTTCGTCCTTGTCTAGTACTGCAGTACATTATTTAGCTTACGGCATTCGGCATCTCTGCCTTACGCAAAACGAGCGGGTCATCTAGACGCGAGCACGACATCATTAAATACCTTCTTTGCGCAGTCGCTGTACCTGATCTGTCTCCCCAGCCGGAGGGCACTGAGAATCTCATCACCTGTAGAAAGCTAGAAAGAATAAAAAAGTTGCAAGGTTGTTGTGAAGGGTCTTCCAAATTATCACTAAAATCGCCCTCTCTAAGAACCACTCTCGGAGGTGGAGGTGACATCATAAAAAAGAGATGAGGAAAGGGTTTGTTGAGGTGTAGCTTTTTTTCCTAACGATTTCGAGGTTATTGATGGCTCGATTGATATCGCTTTGTCTTGAATCCAACGCTAGCTAGGCTTATTTCCCTAATGACGGATTCTGTTGGATCAGTGCACTTTTGAGAAAAGCAGGGCTCTTAGGAGATAATGAGACAGTCTGATCCCATTTTCACGGTTACCAGAGCATTCTTTCCCGAGTTCAGCCCGGATCAACCTCTTCAAGGAAGTACGACTGTAAGTGACTTTCTTCAAATGTCACCATAGTAGCCTCAATGGAACCTCCATGAGATTGGACCTGATTGCCGTACCATCACTCTAGGACCACTGTGGAGAGAGAGAGGGAGATAGCGGAGGGCGCAGCCCAACACATTTGAGTCGCTTTGAGGATGAGAAGTGAGCATCGCAAATAGCGTCACGTGCGCTACATTCTCAGCAGGATCCAAGTGATTCGGCATGCTGACGCTGTAATGTGATAGATCAAAGCGAGGAGGGCTCTGTTAGATTGAGGATGCAGCTCGAACGTTCTGAAGTGCAGCTAAGGACAGTATCTGAATGCCACTGGAATAGCTAAAAACTTCTCAGGAAGAAAACGCTCACGGGTCTGCTGTGTTTTTGTTCTACTGCTATAGTTCTTACTGTCAATCCTTTCCAATTTTAAAGGTTCTCTATTGCAGCGATGACTCGCTGGATCTTCTAGACACCATAGCAGAAACACAAATAACGTTGAATCTCTTCCTTAACAACAAATTCGATCTAGCAGAGGAAAGAATGGTACAACTGTGAGTTAGTCGATGAGTTTTCGTTTATTGCTCTCAAATTTTCCGGTTGTTTTGGTTTAACTTCACCTTTAACATCTCTTTATTTTGATCGTTTTCTATTTCTTCTCACCAGGGGTTTTAAAGTGTGTAATGAAACAGCGAAGCAAGAACTGGGAGTTAACGAGTCTCTTCAGGAAGCGAGTTTCGGGGAGAAAGGCACCGTTGCGAAAAACACAACCGAATGGGTCGTAATTTGGCCAGGGGAGGGGGAGCATTTCCAGCCCCCTGGTTCACTGGGCCGCCAGACCACTATACAATCAATTTTCCTCACAGTGTAAACTGTGGTGGTTATTTGCGTAGGGATCCCTCTCTCCACTAGACGGTAAACGTTCGGGAAAAATGGGATAATTTGATTGCATGCTTGGCCTAAAACGATCACTTACATCACCGTTTCCCGTGAGGTGCGCACCGTTGTGCTCGTCTCGAGGTTGAACTCAGATCTGTCTTTAAATTGGGAAACTACTCTCTGAGCGATGTTATGGAGGTTTTTCTCTACTGTTTTTCTCTTCAAGGCACGCTGGTGCCGTAGCGTTGGAACCTGTAGAGCAGCAGACAGCGCTTTCAAAACGGGTGTTCATTCATGTTCAGGGGTCAAATCACTCCTAGAGACTGTGGTGGTTCAGTGGAATTAAATATAGGCCCTTAAGTACGCAGCGAGAACGGCAATAATGATCTATTTAATACCTTTATTATGTATATGAGATGAATCTACGTCTTGATTGTGACGGTAGTTGTGCGAAGAATGGCGAGTAAAAGGACAGGAGGTAGCAGCTAGTATATAGTAGGGAATATGGCAGCCTGAGTGCGGACCATTATATCATGGGTCCGCCTCATGGCAGTACTTAAAGACCCACGCTGAGAGAGGTTTTAGCCCCAGACGTGGAGAGAGGATGTAGAGTGAGATCGTCGTCACAGACGACGATAGAGACGGTACTCTAGCATAGCCCGAGGTTCTGATTTAACTTCGAAAATTTGAGGTGGGTGCGGTGAAGATGGTATCCTGGACTATAGCGACGTTGCTGGAGCTGCTCGATGTTGGAGGTGTCCCACATTAAGAGTGCTGGTTTCCAGGTAAATAGCTGTCCATGGGTGACTCCAAATAAGAGGTTTCGCAGCTGTCTGGAAGTGACGTGAATTCTAATGGCCTTCTGCGATTGGAGATGGCTTCATATTTTGGTGTACATGGAAGTGATGGGCGAGAGCCTGCTCCTGCTAATCGAGGAACATCTTGGGTATCTTCTGCCCTGGTACTCATATCCACTTCCTCTGTCTGGGCTGCGAAAATTTTACTGATATGTGACTCGGCCAAAGTGCCTTTTTTTGCCCACCCCCCCCCTTTTGTGTTGAGCCTCCACATATGTACGCTCTTACGTTTCCTCGCGATAGCAGGAAACGACCACGCGAGGAGAAACCCCTCCATAACTTCGTTCAGAGAGTCGTTCCGCAAGTTTTGAAGGTAGATTTGAGTTCATCACCTCAAGACGCGTACAATGGTGTGCACCGTATCGGAAATAAGCGTCTGGCCCGTTGACCTTCCTTCGTTAGCTTGAGCTTGGAAAGGATCTACAGGGGAACCTCATACCAGTGTCTTATCGCAAACTGCAACATTTATTTGTGACCCTAGAAAAGTTGGAATGGATACTATTGTTTTCAGAGCTGACAGAAGCATGTATCATGCGCTGGGTCACAACACCATTGTCTTCATCAAGGCCATGATGACATGCGACAAGGTGAGAACGGCTTGGAACACAAAAAGAATACATCATCATATTTCCTGAAAAACAAACCTTTTCGTGATCGTGGAACTGTCACTTCGTGGTCCTGTAACTTGCCAGTACGGGAAGAATGGGATGGTAGCCACCAGTATGCTACTTTCTCCGGCCAAAAATGCATGGGAACGGGGGTGGAGGGTAGCGATCCCGGGTGCCGGGGCAGCTCGGCGAGGGGGGGCGGCATTTTGCACTTTTGCCACTTCCCATTAACGTGTCAACCCATCTAGAGAGCCATCTCCTGAGCTTACAAAAGTTGACAGGCTTTGAGATGGTAGCTCAGAGAGCTCGCTCCAGCTCTTAACAGTTCGCAGGTTCCACCAGTGAAAGATTTGAAATCCGTAGCTAGCGGCAGCTCAGATGCAAAATGCTCCCCGAACTGCCCCCATGCCGTCTTCTAACCCCCCCCCCCTGCCGTACAGCCAGCCACTCGCCTACCATGGCCAAACGCGTTAATTGTTACGCCTTCTAACTTCAGGTCCTCACCGCTGACTGTGTGTTCGCTGCGGGATTTTGTAGTCGCAAACGTTGCACCCTGAAGAGAGCGCGGGGTGAGCCGGGAAACGGCACCCTCCAGCTACCTTCCATGTATTAGGTTGTCGCATAAGTTCTTATACACGACTTTTTTGTAAATATCTCAAAAACCAACCAGCCTGGAAATTAGAGGTATGCACCATCACCATTCACTACTCGACGCCAGGCAGCTTGTCGATTCCATCCTTCCAGAACGACGGAGGCTGGGACTTGAAGAAATCGTCGAGCGCCTTTCTGACCTGATCCTTTGTTTCGAACTTTTTTCCGTCCAGATAGCGCTGCAGGTGGCTGAACAGCCAGTAGTCAGAAGGAGCGAGGTCAGGGCTGTAGGGAGGGTGGGCGACCATCTGCCATCCCTACTTCTCCAGCTCGGCCTGGGTCGCCTTTGCAGTGTGAGGTCGGGCGTTGTCATGGTGGAAGTGGATTTCCGCATTCCTTCCACGAGTACGGTCGACGTGATCTTTCAATTTCCCAGCTGGGTCATGTATGTGGAAGCGTCAATCGTCTGTCCCTTCTCCAGCAGCTCCCAGTACTCCATGTCTCTTCCGGACCACCAACAGGGACAGGGAGTAACCTTTTTTGGGGGTGAAGGTTCCGGCCTTTTGAGGTTGGCTTCTGGCTGTTCTCCTTTGTCGATCCTTAATCTGTCTGATATCCTCACAGAATACTCAGTAGAGACTCCACTTCTCAACTCTCCATGATCCATTTCGAGTAGTAGATAAGTGAAGCCGTTTTGAAATGATGAGAGAAGTGCAGAGCGGGTCACACGCCTCGAGGGGTCATGAGAGCGGATCATGTTACATGTGGGACCCATCCGACCAAAGATTTGGCTACCTGTTGCGAGCTTTTCTGAGTCCAGCGTGCACAGCCTGTCGAGTGATCATAAGCTAAGCATAGGTGCATTTCTGTTCTCTGATGCTGAGGTTCGGGGTCCTCCTCTCCAGCGGTGGAATCAGTATCTTCCAATCTAGACTCCATCTGGGCGCTAGACACGGACCTACGAGGACAATCTTCGAAGTAAAAGTCTCCTTTCTGAATTTGATAAACTCAATGTCTTTGCATGTCAATGTAACGAGAATGCACGGTCGGCTATCGAGACGCGTATTGTATCCACGGCAGCTTTGTATGGCTCTCCTTGTATTCCATCCGAAATCGGGAGCCGAAACGCAATACATGGCGCAGGGTACGTTTGTCACAGGCTGCAATTTGTCGACATTCTTGTGTACTAGGCAAATGCAAGTCTCGATGATGTACGGAGGTAGTGTAATGAAAGAGTATAATGTACACGTCACGCACACGTGATGAGTAATACCAACATCCATGCGAACGAAATAGGAGAGGATCAAACACGTGTATAAGAACTTATGCAACAACCTAATACTTTTGACCTGGGAAAGTGGCACTCTACTACAGCTGCCATCCTATTCACCTCACTGGAACAGAGAATCCTCGGAGGTGACTGTACAGTTTGTTTAGTTCTAGATAGCTACCTTTTTTTACAGGGTGATCTGGAACGGTCGATGCAGGTATCAAAGGATGCATGTGCTGTTATTGAGAGGTATCGCCAGAAGATGTCCATCAGCGACACGTTTCTGAGTTTTGGAGGGAAACTACCGAGAAATCTCACTGATGGTTTGTCGTTATGCGTTAGCTTATTGTTTTTTTACGAATAAGAGGAAACTCTCAGAAAATGGAGCGGTGATTTCCCGGCTTTTGCGGTCAGTTGATTAACGGCGGTCTCCCTTTTTGATAATTTATTACTTTCGTGCGGTTAGAGTAAAATTAGTTTCAAGCTTATCTCTCATCGACCATCGATAATGTGATAAGGGACTTTGGTGTTCAGAAACCCCACCAACTGCATAGGGGCACATTCCGCGCCGATATGTGGGCGGAGTTAAGTGACGCTGTTATTGTCACGCTCTCTTGATTACCAATTGAGGCACTCTTACCTATGCCTGTTGTGCCATCGTAAAATCAGAGGCATGGCCAAAAGCATAAGATTTTCCTCCACACGAGAAAAGAAATGCTAGGAGAATAGGAAAATGGGAGAACCAGGCGACTAGCATCCAGATAGGTATCGATTCGGTTTACGTCACCCAACTGGAGAATGGGAGACACGAACGATGTAAGATTCACCGATTCTCGTGATTGTTCATCGCTTGGTCTCAGCATGTCATTGTGTAGGCCATATCACATTCGAAGAACGACAAGAGTTCTGAATTGAAGGCTCATTGAGGGCCACATCCTGGGAAGGATTATTACGCGGTATCCTGCATCCTTGATTCTTTACTTCCTGACCAGTAACTTATTTTTTAGGAACTTACTCAAGATAGTCTTTTATAGAAGAACTTCACGCCGAGCTGTGTTACGCGGAATGCCTTCTGTCGCGAGCAGCTCTTGCTTTTTTCCAAGATGATAATTTTGCCAGCTTTATCAGAGGAGCGCTCCGAATTCGAAGCTGCTATCAAATCTACAGGTGATTTCTAGTCTGAAGGCATTGCAGTGTCACAACATGATTCCCCTAGCGCACGTTTTTCACAGTGAAAAATGTTTCGCAACTTCAATAGGTGCCTCAATTATCACGTAGGATCAACGCCTCATACTATCGAAAGGTGGGAGGCATTCTTAACACATATTGGAGCTCAAGCATCAAACATAAGTTGCTTCCACTCGCAGACACTAGACACGCTGAACTGGCTCTGTATTTTAGGTCCGCTCAGTGCTCAGCAAAGGGGTGAGCTGTCCTATCTAAGCAGACGATGACCAAGCTGTTCGTCACAGAGGCTTCTCTCAAGAAGACCTGACAAGATTGCACCTGTGAAAAAGGTCGTCTCTTAGAGGGCAGTTGGCACGATAATTGACACTGGGCCCAAAATGCTAGCAGGGCACTTCATAGTGATAAAATGGCCAAAAAACGAAGTGAAACAGTCAAAAACATGCGAAGAAAAGCCTTCATTCTTAATGATTCGAAAATGCAATATCGGACGAGTTTTCCCTGAGCATCTGTCTTGCCTTTTACCGCTGCGGTGAGTACGGCTGCACATAAATCCCATATACCATATATACATAAATTCATGCAGCACCGCAGCCGCTTCATACCCAATCTCTCGCTTCATATTTTACTTATCAAATGAAGCAATATGAGCATCAGTGCGGTCGTCCATTTGTGGGCGGGCGGGAGCGGTGGGCGTTCGGGTCAGTATGTCGTGGCTTGATAGGGCCTCATAAGGGTACATTCCCTGGAAAAGTTTGTACGCAGCGTTTGCACAGGGTCGTACAATTCCGGCGTTTTAATCCTACTCCTCTTCGGGATTTATCGGGCCAACTGCCTTCAAGCGAGAATCCGCCACCGCATGACAATAACAAATCCAACCACGCTGATAATCTTATTGTGTGCCTATGCAATAGTTCAGTTGGACAGTTGGCCATCTTCGAGGAACTTTCGTTAATAGTTGAGGTTATTCGTTCTGCCCTGTTTTACATGCTGAATCCCTGTAACAATTTGGATATGTGACCAAACTGCTTTTCGCCTTCCAATTGCTTTATCCTTGTCTCTCCTCAAAAAAGAAATGCGTATGCCATAATGACCGAAACTGAGCACCAATATGATGTCAGCTAAAGACGTCTAAACGAACTACATATTCATACTTCGCGACTGCGACGATACAGTCCAAACGAACTACATATTCATACTTCGCGACTGCGGCGATACGCTGTCGCGCGACTATAACCGCTCGCGCACCACTGTGAGTCGCGGAAAACGCTGGAACCGTCTACAAAGTTCTATCTCGTATGTGAATATCGTTAGTCTGCTGCATTTGCCATTAATGGAAGAGCAGGGTACGTTATAGACTCGCAGTTTTTGATTCGCGCGAGTGAGTCCCTCAAGATATGTGGAGAATAGCTGTACTCTTGCTCACTGCCAGGCTGGATTTCCCTTCATTCAACACATGTGCCGCAACTCTAGGCTCGCAACCGAACTATCACGCCCTGTTGTTTTGAAGAGATTAGACGTGATCTTTCCAGGTACTGCGAACGTCTATTGATGGACGAGGCGCTGTGGTTGGGACGAGACAACCGTGTTCGAGATCATTTCGAGGCTGGCGTGCTGATGGGACTTGGAACGTTCAACCTGATGCTGTCAACCTTGCCGTCGAAGGTGTTACGGCTGCTCGAAGTGGTGGGCTTCTCCGGCGACAGAGTGAGTAGCTGTTTTTAGGTTGTAAAGCTTGTTCGATTCCTGCTGAGCAATTGTTCTTCCTTACGATTCGTTTCCCAACACTTGTGATCCTGATTCCAGATAATTGGAATGCGTTCGTTACATCGCTGTGCTGCTATGACAAACACGGTGTTCGCCTCATTCAGTGTGATGCTGTTGCTTGTCTGGCATTTGATCGTCTGCTTCATGTGAGCGTTTATTTATGGAGGCTTTATATGACCCTAGTCACATTGCCTTCTTTGACGACCCATACCATTGAATTGGATCACCTACGTAGGACCTTTGCGAATTAGGCCCTCATACGTGTCCAAGACCACGAATTATTTCACGCACCCATGGAAAGTAATGAGGAGATTGAAGTTCTCCTTTCTCACCCGACACGACAGCTCCTGCCTAGCGATCAAATTCCGGTATTCCGCTGGGGATTCCACAAGGTTAATATACTAGGTCTAAAAAAGTTATTGACTCTCAGGTTCCCTCATTTCGAATGCTGTTTTCTATAGTACTTTCTGTGGGGTTCGTGACAAGTATCAAACCTCCACATGTCCCGAGCCGGATAAGCAAGGAAAGAACGTCACAGTGTACAGGTCTACAAATAGACTAGTCCACCACAGCTGCATGAATCCAGGGAAGACCGTAACAGCTGAAAGGCAATGTCAAGATAATGTTGAAAAGCACCATGAATTCAGGTCGTTAGCCTGGCACTGGTTCAACAGGCCCGACTTTCCCCACGGCAACGCTCCGCCTCACGTCGTACAAGCTATGCTAAATAATCTGAACGAGTTAGGCAGCGTCTAGACTTGTCGCGCTTGGACGCGCGTTGATTGCCGCGCTTCAGTTGTCGCTGTCACTTGTAATTCAACACGCTACAATTACAAGCGCGCTCCAATGGTAACAAATTCCAGCTTCCCTTTACGTTTATTCGTCCGGTATCCAACCCCTTTTCACTGTTTCTTTTTTCTACCTGATTCTTAGCTCCTTTTTTTCACTTGGACATCGAATTTTAACGTAGTTTTTGATACAGGACACAGCGGTAATGATTTTATTTGCCGTTCCAAAAAAACCCGTTGTCAAACATCAGAAACTCAAAAAACTGAAAACGTCAAAGGCGTCAAAGACTACATGAAAATGCAATGTCCAGTGAAAAAGAGGAGCTAAAAATCAGGTAGAAAAGAGAAACAGCGAAAAAGGGATTGAATACCGGAAGAAAGATCATAAAGGGAAGCTGGGGTCTGGTACAATTGGAATGCAGTTGTAAGCGACAGCGACAAATGAAGCGCGACAATTGAAGCGCGGCAATCAACGCGCGTTTAAGCGCGACAAGTTTAAACCCTGGCTTAGGGTACTGGATTTTCCATTCACCATAATCATCAGAATAGTTCTCAGCTATGAAACTTCAAATATCGTCCTGATACCTACCGGCTTCCTAAGGTAGCAATGCTTCTGAAGCCAAAAAGATTCCACAATGGCATCCATCGAATTCATCGCATATAATCTACGATATTCCATACAAGCGGGGTGAGCAAACTTGCTCCTAGCTAACAGAAGGTACAGGTTGTTATTTGGTCTAATAGAATTTCATTCGAGCCTAGATATGCGCATTCGAGAGTTGATATCGAAAACGCAAGAACTTTATTTACGGCATGATGAGTTGCTTCACCTCTTCGGTACCTTGACAGATAGCAGCTGTTAACCCCATGCGAACAACTTCTCGTTCTGTTATCAAAACGGTAACTCAGGTTTGATAAGGGAACGCAAACTTGCTTGCGTCTCAGCCCGATTACCCTTGATACCGCTGCAATTCATGGAAACGCTGAGCACTGGACGTTTTCATGTGAATCGCTGCATGGGCACATCGTTTCTAAAATTCCAGCAACCTAATAAATGATTACCCTGAACAGTTATCATCGTCCTCTCTATGTCAGAAATCAGATTTACTACTACCTAGCGCTTCAGGATGGCAGCAGAGTTTTACATTTGCACAACCACTGGCCTCTGATAATGTCGACTAGGTCCATAAAATAGATGTTTATCCTGCTAGCCTTGAAAGGACCAAACGCTTTTTACACTTCACAACCAACAAGTAGCATGCCAAGGGTGCAAAAAGAGAGAATTTGGAGAGTAAAGAACTATTCCCCTTTCTTTGTGCAGTTATTGTCGTCACAATCAGTCGGGGAGGTGTGAGGAGGAGTAGAAGTAGCCCGCCCGCGAGGTCCTGTTTTTCTGTTTTCTTCCTACACCGAAACACTAATACTTAGCGCTGGGTGGGCTCACTTCTTGCCTCCTGCAAGTGCCCCACTTGATTGCTATGATATCGACTATGTGCTAGAACGTCACCACAAAGTTGCTGATACATAGCAATATTACGTTCCGTTACGTTGGTTTTCCTATTCTGGGCATACATACGCAAATGGAATGATAAATGACTTGCGCAGGCCAGCCGATGCAGAATTTTAGCGTTTTTGCTTTTGTTTTTGCACAAGTTACCAGTCAGCAATTTCTCAAGTGTTAAAGTTTTCGCTAGCTTGGAAGTGAGCCGAAACGATATTCCCGGACCATGGGACCACGATAGCCATTTGCCGCTATTTCATTTTCTCCAGACATTTTCCCCTCCGCCTGGCAAGTTCTCGGAAGGAAAACAAATGCCTGGAGTTCGTCGATTTCCTTCTCATTATCAGTTTATTGTTTTCTTCCACTAACCTCCTTCCGCACTCGATATTTCATTTCTCCCTCTTTTCAGGTTTGGAGCTGGACAACCTGATCTAGGTCTGTGTCGTCGATTGTTGCCATCTCTCATGGCCAAATATCCCAAGGTTTCCTGAATCTTGTCCATAGTTAGTGCAGAATGTGCATCCTCTGTTTAAGGGTGCTATCATTCTATTCCTCCGAGCACGTTTTCTGCTTGTTTCTGGAGAGATCGACTCGTCCATCTACTGCTTCAATCGTTCCATCGAGTCACAGAACGAGTATAAGCAATTCCATCATGTCGCCTATTGGGAGCTATTGTGAGATACTACTCATTACACTTTTGTAATAACATTCGTTGTGTTAGCACTGCCCCATTTGCCTGTTCAGGTTCGCCCATTGCTATGTTGGAGAGTGGGTGAAAGCAGCTAACTATGCGAAGAAGCTTTTAAACGAATCGAGATGGTCACGATGTATCTACACCTACCTTTTGTGCATACTCTTTGCAGCAGACACTACGTGTGAGGAATCAAAGCGAAATGAAACCGTGGCGGCGTTGGCCAGGTGTGTACCCGTTTTGTAATTATTTTGACAGTAAGTTGCTAGAATTTCTGTACAGTTCTCATGTCCTCGTCGCCTAGTTTCCGAATGCTCAGTAAAAAAAATGTGCAAATGGATGGGTGTCCTTTCGCGCCAACTGTTGCATCAGAGCGAATTTGGTTTTCGGGTGTAGGTCAGGAAGCTCGACCTGCCATGCGAAAGGGAGAGGGTAACTTTAGCGGCAGATTTTGCGATAGACTGAAGAAAAATTCGTGTACCAGCACATTTTGTATCATTTTACAAAAAGAGACCTGTTGCGCCGTTGAAGAGATGCTTTCTGTTCCAAGCGAGGTTCGAAGAATTGATGAGTCTTTGGTCGACAGATTAGTGGCGAAAGAGCAAGGAGGCGAGCTAGTCAGCAGCTACACCAGCTAGCAAGGTAGGCGGCTTCACTCGAGCGCCGCATCTTAGAGACAAGCTGTACACTCATCTCCGCGAATCGTGGCCCGTGCCAGGAGTGAGGTGACATCCGCAACTGCGGACCCAGTCACCTCACTCCGTTCAGAGCTGCATGTGAACGAGGCTGGAAGGTAGTGATGCCCGCGTGCCAACTCCATACTCCGGCTCGTGCAGCGACCAGCCACATGCCTGATTGTAGCCAAACGCGCTACTTTTCTGCGCCATCTCCCTTTTGCTTGTTCTCCACCGCTAAGTATGTGGTTCGCTGCAGGACCCTCGGTAACTATGCAACTGCAACATCTTGAGGATAGCGCGGGTGGAGTACGGAACCGGCACCGGTATTGCTACCCTCCTGCTCACTCTACGTTTGCCTTTGAGCGAAGAAAGTGGCACACTATTGCAGTCCCGTACCCCACCCACCTCGAGCGATTGCCCTCTGTAGGTGAGGGTAGAATTGTCTCCTTACATGCTCCATAGTTTCCTGTTGCGAAACTTGTACAGGGTTATCCGCTTTCCTCACGAAGAGCTTTGGTTCTTATGAATGGTCGCTAAACGTGCATCTAAACGGCATCACGTGCACGGCACAATACAGGCTACAGGAGACATAGTGATCCAGTTTTTGCGTGACACCGATCCTCGAATCCACTAAAAGCAACCAATTTTTCACTTTTTGTTTGAACTCAGCTGTGAAGCGATCGACTCATTTAGAAATGTTGCGGGTCTCATCCCTAATTTTTTCTGGGCGGTGCATTTACGTCATCTCCTACCTCTTGCAAAACAATCTGACAAACCGTCGACGGATACATATCGACCACACTCTTTCCTTAAAAGATTTTCGATTGGCAATGTGATAAAGGCACATAGCGCGCTGATCCGTGGATCAGGACCTTTACCCCTTAGCTATTAGTGCGCCAGCCCTCTTTACCACTGTAAAAGAGGGCGCGAGGAGGGCACGGTAGTTTGATGTCTGATCCCAACAAATTTTGTGGATATATCTTTCAAATGATGCCCGATGCCTGTCTTCGAGCATGTCCGGTTTCGTCCAGAAAGGCGCCTATGTTCAGTCGAGTTTTGAGTTTCAGAAAGATCGACGGTTTGCGACAAAGAATCGCTGGCAAGTCAATTCCTCTGGAAAAGTACTGCACAAAGAAGGCAAATCGCTTTGTCACCAAACAAACGCTGATGTTCGCACATTACGTTAGTGCTTTCATACCAATAGCTTAAAGGCAGTGTATGATAAGTGGTAGAGTTCAGGAATTTATGTACTTCTGGAACGGGTTCGACATCGTCGCTGCAAACTCACAAATAGTTCAAGGAATTCTTGAAGATCTTCAAAGGATCTGGCATGCAAGACATTCAAAAGGTTCACACTTCCGATTAGTTTATGGAAAAATGAGGCGAGTACTATGATGGGAGTTTTCAGCAGATGCTGATGATCGAGCCCTCTACTTCTTCCTTCGAGCAGTGTGCTTGCGGATTCTTCACCAACCAACTGCAGCCGAAAATAGTCTCCATGAAGTGCTCAAACTGTAAGTGATCTTTAGCTCATTTGATGTCGGAACTCCTGTCTCTATACATCTGGCGCAAGTACATTTTGATAGAACAGCGCTTGTTACTTTAAGACAAACTGTACGCTCGCCTCCGAGGATCCTAGTCCTTGTCATTACGAGTCAGTGGGTCCATAGCTGCACTAGCGTGCAACTTTCTCCTCTCAAAAGTGTATAGCATCACGGCTGGAGGGTGATGGAACCCAGGTTCCCTTTCTGGACTTCGCCTGTGCTGCAGAGCAGTCGGCACACGCCCAGCCATAAGCACCTCGTTACGCCTCCTCACTTCTAGTTGTTCTCCAGCTCTGGTTATGTGTTCGCTTTGGAATTGGGTATCGACACAAGTGCTGCACCTTGAGGCCGAGGCCAGCACTAAATAAGGATGACCGAACACCATCTCTTGTTCAGTGCTTTGAGTGGAAGGTGAGAGCTAAACCGCGGAAGATTGGTTTCTTCGCTCCCCTATTTGGGGTTTTTGGGTAAACTATAAAGAAACTCAAAATTATTAAATTGAAATTATTACGAAAACTGGCCATATTCAATAAAATTAGCGAAGTGTGGTCGGGCGCTTGACAGGTAAGTTATAAATAGGGAAGTTAGACCAGTTCTAGGCCCCTTGTCTTCAGGTTTCGTCCCTCCTTTCTGGACGAAACCTGAAGACAAGGGTCTGTTCGAAACTTCGACCAGAAACCACCAGTGATCCTGGTCGATAAAGCAGTATGAAAAAGGTGCCTAAATGCACTTCCCTGGGGTCAGCTGTCATATTCCTCTCCTTACGTGAGCGGGTGGTCATGCCCGCAAAGGTAGCCATTGCACCATTTTTGCGGCGCAAAGGTGAGTGAGGAAGGCGCAGACATTGTCGTTCTGGCCCGACCATTTTCATTAACCCCGCCGCTATCTATAATGAAAGAAGACCTGCTGAAGAACATCGGCAGAGAAATTATTGGCAATAGGAAATCAACTGTAATCAGTGGCGCAACCATATCGGCCGCAACAGCGCTCGCCCGGTGATCTCGTCCAGTCACTCTCATTGCTCTTCCTCTGATCGTCTTGATCGCAAAAGAGTTCTATTGGGGGTATTCGCGACCACTTTTTCTGTTTTTTCTGCACTATTGACTTTGTTGGCATCTTGGCATCGCTAGTTCAGCACCACTACCCAGAACATCTGATCGCGGGCTTTGCCTTTGACAAATATCCGGGTTTCAAGGAGACCGAAATTGAAAACTTGTGAAGATGGATTTATCATGATGACCGCTGTTGTTAATTGCCATAGTCTTACTGCTCCGATTCCGCAATAAACCACACTCGTGAGTGCAAGCAGAAGTGACGCTGGGCCGGGAATGCGACCCTCTTCACGCGCGTCATCCGGGTGAATTGCGCCGTCCGATGAGCGTAGTCTCTTTACGCTGGGGAGCCTCTTATGGTTCCTGCCATAGCTTTTGTGTGGTGTTCCTATAGCACCAAAAAGAGTTGAACGTGGTGACCCGGTTTGCGCGATATCGGCAGCGAACAACACGGGGACTGAAGGTGTTACACGTTCGAAGTTGGCTGTAAAGGTGATTCACCCTGACACTACATTCTTTCAATACTGGTAATTCGCAGAGAATCAGAAACTAACGGCATTTCACTTACTTGCCACCGAATTCAGTGTTAACGAGCTGGCCCTTTTGCGGATTGCTGAGACGGCGACACGAGGAAAGCAGAAATCCTTCTAGCCAGGGGCTCGTAGCTACAAAAGGTTACTCCTTGGAAAACAAGTTGCATTTTTCGTAATTCACTGGTGCAATTGGAGAATCTTAGGTTCTCGAACCGCCAATGGTGCTAGGTGTCACTATGGTTGTGGCTGCTGTCATCGTGTAACGGGTTCGCAACTAGTAATGTCTGGTGATCTGTTTGTTTATTCAAAAGGGTATTTGAAACAAAGTGAATATTTCATACTGCAACATAATCATTTACTGAACAACCCTCCTAATTTTTTTCAACATTTACATCATCACATGAGTGGCCTTTCTCAATGAAGCATCATTTTTCTTGATAAAGAGTTATTTAAAGAAGTTGAATGAGTGTTGCTATATTCTGCTCCGTTGACGTCTTCCATTCTTCAACATACCTATCGAAGGTTTGTGATGATTATAAGCGTGTGTATAGGTATCATAAGCGCCCCGGATAAAGCGCTGAGAAAGGCGTTACTGAATTTCTATTGAGAGTGGGCGCGAACGCGCTTGTGCAGCACTGCTGTGTCGGGATTCTGTAATCATGTGTTTTTCTCCAGCACAAGGTAGGATAGCAATTGCCTCAGATGGAACTCTCCCACAAAAACGCATAAGGCAGTGGAACAGAAGAACGACGTGACGCATGCCGTCCCCGATCTGCAGAATAAATGCGGAGGTGAGCACCATATAGTTTGGGGATGACCCTTATAAATACTCTTTTCGCACACTCGGACATACTTGGCCAGTGGGATACCCCAGATTAATTGGCTTGCCACGCTGCACTGGTGACCTCTCACCCTGCCAGCGCTCAACAAGATAGAATAACGAGAATAAGTGTATAGATGTATTAAAATAGCAAATTTCAAAGATGGTAGAGTGGTTATGCTATATAATTAGCGTAATGGAGACAAATGCCAATAATTACAGAGACCACAGTATAATCATGGAAATCTGATGCAATGGCGTGAAAATAAACTGCTATGCCAGTATCGGTATTAAAGTCACTGCGAAACGTCGTCTACCAGCGCAATCCACCACAGAGGATGTGCCTCTGGCGTTCGGCGCCTGTTTTTTTAACCTAGAGAAGCCTACTCACTCTTATGAAGGTCAACTTTATAGAAACTTACGAACATCCGCAACCCAATCTTGTTCAGATCGAAACATGGTTATTGCAGTGGCGTCGAATGAGAACCAAATTGAGCGAGCACTGCAAGATAAATGTCGCGCGGTAATGTCACTAACAAGCCCATGGGCAGTTTCCTTTCCTCTGGATTCTGGAATGCCTTGCATTTCCATGTTTTTGGTGCAGTGTTTGTATTACAATATTATTGCCGCCTTTGCTTATGAATGACTATTTTTGATTAAAAAAGTATTAAAAGTATTACATTAGTATTACTTAGACACTCCGATTATCTCGTTATTTCTATCTTGTGTGTGGCCTGGCGCGCTGAGAGGTACCAGTCAGCATGCAAAGCATAGCAATAATCTGGGGGTATCCCACTTGCAACGTATGCGAGGTGCGAAAAAAGTAATTATAAAAGGTCATCTCAAACTATATGCTGCACGACCTCCGGAAAATGAGTGTAGATGGCGCACTGAAAGACTAGTTGGCAGCTTATTATCTGTTTGAACGGTCAAGAGGAAAAATGAGTCTGAACAGTTTCTTGTTGTGCATATGTCAGCATGCGTGCTGTTGCCAGCCTTTAGCAGTGTTCAGCATCTTGCCAGCTTAGGCAGTGTTCAGACGTTCGCGACGCAGTGCTTCGCGCAGTCGCCCCACAAAGCATTCATCGACAAACGCTCGTCAAACGCGATGCGACACGAAGCAGCGCTGTCGTGGTGAAGTTCTGAATTGCTGCCTTAAGTTGGAACTGACTTCTTTAATTGAATATTCCCATTGTGACAGGTCTTGAACTGTGTTGTTGTTGGATGACACATATACTCCCTCTCTTTATAGAAGAGCCGGCCGCGCATGCTGTCACCAAGGGGAAAATGATAAACCGTCCAGTACTGATAGTGATATACGGGTAGCAAAAGATTCATGCTAGTGAAGCAAACAATGCAGGAAAAATTATGTGCGAAACGCCTTTGTAGGAACACCATGCCGACTGGGCTTGTGAGTGCATAAGACAGAGAAAGGGCGCGGCCGGACGAGATCTCGTTGGTGCCCAAGCTCTTTCGCCTCGTTACCTCACTCTCACCATTCGAAATGACAGTTAGTAGCGGAAAACCACACTATCAGGTAAGACTATGAGTGAACTTTGATGTCGGTGGCAGTCAGCGAGGCGAGGCGGCAGTCTCTTCACCGAGCGAGCGCGCTGTCTCCTCTCATATTTTTTTTGAGCGCGTTAGTAAATCCTCCATTCTTGCGGAGGCAGCGATATCCAGAGAAGTGGTGGAAACATTGGACTGAGGCGCAAAACGCCGCCATTGAGATATTTCTTCCCCAGTGGCCGGTCCTAAGACCGCCGATGTGACCTGGTGGTGAAGGAGCACGCCTACCACGCGTGCGGTCCAGGAGTCAGATTCCGGATCATCAGCCCAGCCTAGTCAAGCCTTTGCCGCAAGTTAATGTATAGGGCATATCGCATTCAATAATCCATGCGATTTTGTATGGCAATTAAAATGTAAGGGATTGAGGATTCCATTAGCGGTCGAGTAACGCGGTAGAGCTCACCCTTCTGATGAACCCTTCACTTCAATTGACCATATCGTTTTTAATGGACAGGAAAATCTCCGATCTCCACTTTTACCCGAAAACAGCAAGAAATTCGTTTGCTCTGTGGAATTCTCAGCAACTCACGCTGTGGAATTTTTATCCACGGAAGATTACGGAACTACCTTTCTCAACAGTTGAGTCAAGATCTAGAGAACCAGCTCAAAAACGTGAGGCTCAACAAGAGCTATCATTACTGAAAACCAAATATGGGCATTTATTCTTTCTTCAGAAAGATTTCAGTTTATATGGGTTTTTACTTGAAGAATTCTAACCTTACTAATAGATTCGAACTCTACATGCCAATTACTTTCCTTTTACCCTGATGATACTCAAATGCTTCCTTAATTCGGTGGAAATGACCGACAAACTGAATGCAGTCTCTTGGATAACCTTTTCAAGGCACTTTGAAGTCGAGTTCCAATATGATGTAGTCACAGTCAGTAGTTATGTTCGTTTACGCAAAAATGAGAGAGTTATGCAACTATGGAAAGTTTATATCTCAAAAACACTCACGAGTGCTGCACTCTTCTTGACAAAAAAAACCAAACTAGGAAAAAATAAACGTGGCTGTGTTGACGACGACCCTCGCAACCCTCGTCATAAAATGGTTGATTGTTAATTGATGATGAAGTTATCTATGGACTGTTAGTCAACCGTAAAGGTTAGGTTGACATTTGTCCAATGTTTCATATTATGTCAATCGGAGAAAAAACAATCAAGGTGGAGAAGAGGATAAGAGCAGCAGGAAGGGAGCCTCTTCTGCCATTTCAATGACATGAACCAGAACTAAGAAGCAGGTGGTGATTGTGGCCGACTAAACGTCGTTCATTAAATCATTTCAAGTGGAATTAGGTTAATTCAGGAGTAAAGCGCTACTTTCGAGTCACGGCAAATGGTGGAATAGGTATTCAGGCGGAGTGATGCGCGGTAGCGTTTGCCTGGGACCCTAAATGCTCAGATGGCGCTGCTGTGGCTCGTCAGGTCAGGTCCCTCGACCCTCTCTGCGTCTGTGTCTCTCCAGTCAACCAGCTAAAAAATACTGCTACTGCGGGACTCTTAGAGGTAGTGGACACGAAGGCTGAGGAGGGGGGGGGGTGGTTGGGCGGTTGCTGCCAACGTGATTGAGAGGACTGAATGAGGTGTTATAACGCCCTCCTGCAGCTCTTCCACCAATGTAGGCAGCAAGCGCCTACCTGCCAGCCATCGCCCACCGTCTTCGACGACGAATCCCGCAATCAAGTGATCCAGCGAAGTCCCCGTGAATCATTTGGGTTCATTCACACAGAGTTTGTACCACTTCCGTCACTTGAACGGCGAGATGATTAGGCTACAGACGCTTGGGTACTACACCCACTATCGTTTAAACTCTGCGAGGCAAGTGCTTACACGCGGAGCTACGTGTGCTGTGTATTGCGTTTCCCTGTAGCGCCGTAGGACGATTTCACACAGTCGGACAAACTACCTTCGCCAACCCTATTGCGAACTCACGAACTGTATTTCGATTACTT